TTCCTGCTGTACTATAAATGCAAAACGGATCAAGCCACAATTACTTCATTTCCATTAAATCCTCAAATCAAATGCAACAGTAATTACACATCAAAGAAAATAGGAGACTTACTGCTCCATGGTTTAATATATTATAGGTTACAGCAGTTGAGAATAATCATATGTAGGAGGTTTAACACTGTTAAGCATGACAAAGTTAGCTGCTATGTATTTAGTGCTGTAACTAATTGACCGAGAAATAGAAGAAGCAGCTGTATGTAAGGAGTAATATATTTCTTTTTTGTACCTGAAACCCATTGTCTTTGCATAAAAAATTTAAGACATTTAACAGATTCTATTTGAACCAGAACAATGTGGTCATGCGGGCCTTCTAGATATAGGCGACAGTATTTCACTGTTTTCCTCACGGTCACACTCCATCTGGGTCTTAATGTCTAATTTTCCTTTCCTCCTCTTATCTTCCTCTTCAGTTATACCACACAAAATTGGCCGAATCATTGAAGGCAGTCCCACCGACCGCTGCGGCCTGCTACATGTCGGTGATCGTATCTCAGCAGTCAACGGGCGCTCCATCATCGAGCTCTCTCACAGTGACATTGTTCAGCTTATCAAGGATGCAGGCAATGTTGTCACCCTCACTGTAGTCCCTGAGGATGGTGAGTTCTTAAACTTTATTGTCTACAAGGGGGAAATGAGATTTTCAGCCCTCAACCCTGCTGAATATTTTAGTACGAGTGTTAAGAATATACTTACAGTATATACTGAGGTATTCCAAATTTGAAAAATTGGGTCCCTACTCATCTGAAAGAAGTGAATAAATGAAATAAAAACCTGAAAAATTTTGAGCTTCATAAACAGAGATGTTAAGGTGGAAGTGTTGCATTAAATTGTACACAATTGTACAGGTGGCTAGTGAGTGTGCTGGCAGAATTTTCAGTCATAATTCATCTTAACATTAATATGAATATGTTATATACTCATGATCCATTTGGGCATTTTATGCTAATTGCTGAAATATCCATCTTTTTAGAATACAAGGGCCCTCCATCTGGAGCAAGTTCAGCTAAACAGAGTCCAGCGCTTCAACACAGAGTCATGGGGCAAAGGTCAGTGTTTCAGTTTCAACGATAAGAAGCTACTCAAGCATAGAAGAAAAGCATAGAAGCAAAAAAACAAAGCTCTTAGTCATTGTGAAACTGTCCAAACATCTCTTGTGTACCAGCAGCTTCTGACTAACATAGTCTGACTCCCAGTGCATGGCTGTCATTAGGTCAGCACCATTAAGAAGTTAATTAAGGTAGTCAGTTTGCAAGTCACCATTTGTCCTGTAAAAGCACAAAATGTGCCCCCAAGTTATCAAAATGCACCGTTACCAGCCATGTCACATCAGATATTATGAGAAAACTAGTGTTCCGCCGTTTGAATGGTAAGCTCCTCTCCCCCACCTTTGGCCTGAGGTGAAGTAGACAGGAAATGCAACAGGAACTTGCTTTAAAATTGAAAACAAATAATAAACTATGTGATTATGCTGATGTCAGTGTAATGATAGTGACACTTGTCCTGACAAATACTCATGAAAGCATAACAAATCCTCTGTAATTAGACACAATGTGAAATACAGTGTGTGGAAGAGGGAGTGTTGCCCTCAGAGCAAATGGCTAGAAAAATCACTTTCAACAACCCCATTGGTGTAATAAACCTAAACATGTAAAATGCTGTATATAGAACATATACAGTACAAAATTTAGATAACCATATACCGTATGAAAAAAATGCACCTTTCATCCATTAAATATAGAGCATTAAATTGGATTTTATGTTTTGCATAATGGTTTTTTCAGTTTGTGGTATGTAGCATGCTGTTTACAATATGTATTAACTGAAGAAATACATCCGTTTGCTTCAGTTATACCCTCGATCTAGAGGAAAAAAGGGATGGAATCAACTGGTCTGACCACAAAACTCTTGCACTCAGTGAACAGGGAACACTGTGTGTGACAGGACCCAACCAGGTAAGAATTATCTTGTTAGTCCTTCAGCTATACCTTATATTGTCTTTGCAACTATCTGAAGGTTAAAGATGCTCAGTGCAAACGTTTTTACATAAGATATAAATGCTGCAGTCTTTCAGAGTATTGTAAAAGTGTGCAGTAAAACTGCAAGAACAGCCTTGAACAACCTCTCTGACCCGTATAAGGTTCATACCCTGAAGAAGCCCCAGTTAATCTTGGTTGACTCCTGTTTAAAGAATTTAAGCTGCTGGTCGTAGATATAATCTGCCTTCATGTAGGACTAACAGAGATTAAAAAAACTCTCCTGTCCCAGCTAATTTTTTTAAATAATATGAAGTGACTTTTCTTTTCTTTTTTATGCTATTTGTATTTTATGCCATTCAAATATGGTGGGGATGGTGACTGTGTTACTGCTACTGGCTGTACAACAAATTACCCTTAGGGGATAATAAAGAAAAATCGAATCAATCGTCATGACTAGCGTCCCTTCACTGGCTACCTATGAAATGGAGAGTGCAATTTAAGATTGTGCTATATGTGTTTAAAGCCTTGCATGGACTTGCCCCTCCATATTTATCAGAGCTTCTATCCAGATACTTTCCTCGGAGATCATTACGGTCGTCCGCCCACCTCACCCTTGTGGTCCCTACGTCCCGTTATAAAAAATGGGGAGGTCGGGCCTTTGCCGTGTACGGCCCGGTATTGTGGAACGCTCTGCCATTAGATTTACGCTCCATAACTGAATTAGTTCCGTTTAAATCGGCACTGAAAACATATTTTTTTAAACAAGCTTTTTATGCTTAATCTCTCTAAGGCTCCACTTGGCTTCTATTTTTGTAGCTTTAGTAAATGAAGGCCCCAAAGCTTGCCAAAAATTCAAAATAAAAGCCCCTGAATGCAACTTAAGATCACATAAAGGCCCCAAAATGTGCTGGATTTTCACAATAAAAGCCCGTGATTACAAATTACCCCACGAGGGCTGAATAACATTCCAGATTTTTAAAATATAAGCACCAGATTGTAACTTCAGCTCACCTGAAGGCTCCAAATTGTGATGGATTTTCAAAATAAAAGCCCACTTTGCACATTAGGATTTTTTTTTTCTGATGTAGCACCTAGTGCTCTTTGAGCTGGTAGGTGCTTTATAAATAAATTTTATTATTATATTATTATTATGATGACTGTATAAAAAAAAACAACAACAATATAAAGTATATAAAGTATTGCTCACATAAGGATCTTAGCTCTTTTGTGCCATATAGTGAACATGTACACTAAGTTAATGCATACTGTGCTTATTGTAGCTTCAAATGATATAAATTTAGGATCAGTATGAATAAGAAATTATAGAAAACTTGAATCTGAAGAGACACCACTCATTTTGAGATAACTCTTGGCTGATATCTAAAAAGCAAATGTTTATCAAGCAGGAAGTTGTCTCAGTAACATTTTCAATTGACAGAAAACTTCATTTTAAATCACTGGAAATTTGTTAAGAGTATGTGGTGCATGTCTTCATGTGAGTGTATTAAATACTCTTTGTGCTTGTTTTGTGTAGGGCTGTTTGACAGTAGAGTTAGAGAGGAGTCCCAGGGGCTTTGGCTTCAGTCTGCGAGGGGGCACAGAGTACAACATGGGCCTGTACATCCTGAGACTGGCTGAGGATGGACCTGCTCAGCTCGATGGACGAATCCATGTGAGTGCTCCTGTTATTATACTGTTTACAATCGCAATGTTTTATTTTAGGGTGGCATGGTGGAGCAGTGGCTAGTGCTGTTGCCTCATAGCAAGAAGGTTCCAGGTTTGAGCCCTGGTGCCCCCCCGGTGTGGAGTTTGCAAGTTCTCCCTGTGTGGGTTCTCTCCAGGTACTCCAGCTTTCTCCCACAGTCCAAAAACATGCAGCTGCGTGTGGTTGTCTGTCTCTTAGCGTCAGTCCTGTGGTAGACTGACGACCAGTCCAGGATGGACCCCTCCGGTCGACCAACATCAGCTGGGATTTGCTCCAGCCTATAGATAATGAACCGATGTTTTGTTTTACCTTGAAAAAAGTTCTTCCCCTCAGCTCTGCATTTGTGTTTGATACTCACTGCTGGAATGAGATGAACAAAAAGCAGAACGTAGAGACACTCAGAGGGACTTTGAACTTTTACTTTTGTATATGTCTTTTGTAATATTTATGACTTTTTATTTTTATCTGGATAGAAATTTTCTTTGTGCGATGACCCCCTTGACACTCAGAAAGTTTGAGCTGCCCCTGTGGCCAGATGATACCGACTCAAAATGTCTAAACCCCAGAGGAGGCAGTATTCATTATATCCCACACTGCTCTTTGATGCAGAGCTGAAAATTAAAGTTTGCCTTCCGGAGAGTGCTAGAATAAAGGTCATGGGGGTCATTAAACTCAAAAGTCATTATTCCAAAGGAATGATGAATGTTCTTAGCAAATTTTATTAAAATATGAATAACAGATTATGAGACCTCTTGTGTGAAAATTTGAGCTAGAGGAAAGCTCATGGAAGTGGAAATTTTGGTCTATGGGTCAGTTCAGAGGGGAGGTCAGGCATTAGGATTCAGTCTCTCTAGACCTTGAATATTCACATCAAATATCATGGGTGTTGTCTCACTGTGAATCGAACTGGACCAAGTGACTGGCAAACAGATGTTACTGCTGTGAAGGAACAGAATAGAAGCTCTTAGTGGGAACTGAGGCCCGGAGACCTCATGACTGCCTGTCCAAGGGTGGAGAGAGAGGTCATCACTTATCACAGCCTAACAGACTGACATGTTTACATGCTTTATCTTGAGTTATGTTGTCATCTCCAATAGTGTGTGTGTGTGTGTGGCAAATTTAGATAATGTAATTATGTGTGTTTATATGGCTTCTGTATGTCTGACTGTTGTGTCTATGCTCAGTAGAGTATGTTAAGTGCTGATAGGTGTGCTCCTGTTATTAACTGCACTTTCATTACTGACAGGTTGGAGATGAGATAGTGGAGATTAACGGGGAGCCGGCACGTGGCATTTCCCATACACGGGCTATTGAACTGATCCAAGCTGGAGGAAACAAAGTGGTACTGCTGCTGAGACCTGGAGCAGGCTTGGGTCAAGATGGCAGTGAGTACAGCATTCAGACTAATAAATCTAATAAATCTGTATAATTGAATATCCTCAAAAGATATTTCTAGTACTCAATTTAAAACCAGTTTCAGTACAATGTGAAGTATAATGTGTAGTAAAAACCTCAGTACTTGGTTGAGTAAATAACATTTAGTTTTTGCCTCTCTCCCATGTTGCTAAGCAAAGCTAACATCACCTGGCTGTAGCTTCATATTTAGAGCAGAGAAGCAGAGATAAGAGTGGTATCAATCTTCTCATCTAACTCTCTCTGTATTTTACAAATGTCAAACTATTCCTTTACATTTTACCGCATATCATTCATAATTTAAGTTTTCTCAGTGACATTTGTTTAAAATACATCTTATTTTAAAGCAGCTGCACTGGATTCATTTCCCAGATGTGATTACTTGTTTACACACAGAGCATGCTGAATCCATAAATCTGCCTAATGTTTAGCTAATGATAATTATGTCATCTGTTTGTTTATTGATAAGGCCTATTTTGTGGCGCCACCATTGTGATTTCAACATGCTTTCTCTGCTGAGTTTTTGATTTATGTATTAAATCTCTAACCATCTGCTTCCCCTTGGCTCTTCTTCTCTTGCCCCTGATACAGGTAGTACAGCTTCCTCTACTATGTGCTACTACACTGAGCACCAACACTAACATCTTCACTGCTTTTACTGACCTCTTCTTTTTTATCTTGGTAACAGTTCCTTTCTCATATTTTCCTTTTATTACCCTTTAAAATATAACTCTTCTCCCCTGATTAATGAAGTATCCTTGTGTGAATATGGCATCCCCATGTAAAATGTGTGCTTTTCTTATAGGTCAACATGAAAAACGCATTTCATCCCCAAGCTATTCTGAAGAGGTGTTTCTCTCTGACACATCACCCCCATCCTCTTCACATCCCACCAGAGCATCCACCTTTGTTTCCTCTCCCTTCTCCAGCAAACTGAAACATCCCCAAAGCTGGAGCACAATATCCCCACAAGGCGTCAAACCCCGCAGCAGCAGGGGTTTAAGCACAGTGGAGGAGAATGGTGGTTGGACACACAAGGAGGTAGAAAGGCTCTCTCCGGCCTCTCCAGAGCATATGACCTTCTACAAGAGGACCAGACCCAGAGAAGACTCCAGAGAGCTGAGCAGCCCAAAGAAAACAGGGGAGTCATTTCCTAAAGCCAAAGAGCAACATCACAGTTCCAAAAAGATGGAGAGTCAGGCGCAGGGAGCAAAACTGAGCGGGAACAGGATGTATCAGCCACAGACAAAAACACAATCAACAAACCCTAGGAAGTCTCCTCAAGCTGGACAGCAAATGGCTCCAGCCCTGCAGTGTGCACAGCATCAACAAGACCCTCAAAGGAGATTAAAGGACTCTTCCAGCAGAGAGAGTTTGGATCCTATTAAGATAAATGGTAAAGGGAGGGATCTTGTGGTCAGAAGAAACATACAAGGCAGGGAGATGGAAGGGAGAGGCGAAAGGAGCAGGCCTGGCATTGAGCAAGAAGGTTTTAAAAGGAGAGTGGCAGGAGAGTCTCACCACCACAGAACTCTTCAAACAGTCAGCGAGAGTGTGAAAGGTGCAGGGAAAGACACAGGACAGAGAGATCCTAATGACAGTGGCAAACCTACAGAAGACAGGAATACAAGTAAAGAGGCTCTCAACAAAAGAGAATCATTGTTGTTTTTTAAAGATATGTGGAGTAGAAAAGGGACTGTAGTTTCACCAAGAGAGGTAAAAGAAAGAAAAGACAAATGTTCTCACTCCAAAGAAGGCAGTAGTAAAGAAGACTTTGTGGCTTCCATGAACAGTATTCCAGGGAACCTGCAGAGCCCAAAGGGATCTATTAGCCCAGAGCTTTGGAAAGTGCCCAGCTCAGGCAGAATCCTCTCCCAGACAGAGGCCCTCCGTGATCCTATGTGATAAAATATTAAATCACCTTGACTTGAGCTGGAATATTTAACTCTATCCTCAGTGGATTGTTTTTCTGAGTTCTTCCATAAAACAGAGAAGTGCAACATGTTGCAACTTTTATTACCTTGGAACCATCTATGTCTTCTGACAAGGTGTTTGGGAGTTCTGTGACAACACTTGTGGTGTGTAGCTGCTCCCCTTTGCCTTGTCCATTGCTTCAGCGTCTTTGATGTGGGACTTCAGTATGTGCTGTATGCTCGGGGCCTCGCCAGACGAGACGTTGTGAAATGTGAATATGTGCCAATCCTGGAAGCCTCCTGTGGAATAATGACTACTAACAGTGCTTCACCCATTAAAATGCAATGACCCATATGCAAAGAAGGGAGAAAGGCCCTTCCCTCTCGCCTGATTAGCATCAGTCTCACTGTAGGATATTTTGACTTTATTTTTCTTAAAGGTTTGCTCAACTGCATGCAGTCGGCCCTTTTGCTCGTTTCATTGCACGTGTTCTGCACATCACTGAAGGTGATTCTCTTTCTTTCTTATAATTCTCCTTCTGAAAACCAGGCAGATTTCAAATACAGTCCAGCAAGTGTTCACTCCCGGGGTCTCTACACTGTTCTGTGGTTATAGATCCAACTCTCCTCCATACAAACAGTATCATTAAAAGACCAGATACTTGTGGTTTGAGATCTTGTTTACCATGTGTATGATAACTAACCAGTGTGTAATTTATTCAGATAATAGATGAATATACTGTACGTATATGTAGCTGTACCAAGCCATTCCACATTTTGATATAGACTTCAAAAATTGTTATTTGAGCTTTCACCCTAATTCCAATGTACTTAAGTGGTAGGAATTAAAATGGATCTTTTTTGTTCAAGAAAAGCGTAGGTAACGTGCAAACTGCTGTACCAGATGTTTGCATTTGCTCAAAAGGCGTCTCATTGTGAAATATATATTTGAATGTATCATGTTTTACTGATTCTCACTTTAAAATATCTATTGAATTCCATTGCACTGCATCTGCCCGTGTAGCATAACACAATGACCATGAGTTGTATTTAATTTGTGATGTTGACTTGCTACTAATGCATTGACATTTTATTTTATTTTTATTATTTTATAAAGCAGTTTTTTTTATGTTTGCTGTTTAAGGCCAATATGGCAATTTATATAATACTGTCCCTGATGGTTTTATCTTTGCATATTGAGAAAAGAAAAGTGAGGGCTTTAAATGTATATTTGTCAGTCCTTCTGTGTGTTTGTGTGCCAGGGTAGCTTGAAGGATAATAGAACTTAGTAAAATTCCACATTACACTCTGAGATATTGAGCGTGCTGCTGATGTAAAGTAGGTATAAAGAGATTCCACCTTCTAACATATTTAAAGCTACATTATATAACTTTTTTCTGATATTTTTGTTGTAGAAATATGTTTCGAAACTAGTCCTAATGTGGAGAGGTGCTGTCGAAGCGTCCCGTGACCCAGCCTCATTGAACCGC